CGTAGTAAATCCGAAAGGATTCAGTAATAGAGGAATGTGATAGTGCTCGTCGGGATGCTGTACATCAAACACCACGTCGATTATAGGATACATGGAAGTTGTCGCGATTCGTTTGAAATAATCATTTACTCGAAACTCAATCTTGAATCTGCCAGGCCCGCAATACTCTTGCTCGTTCTGCAACAGATCCATGCAACGTCCATTTGAGTCTGTCACGCTGTAAAAAAATAAAATTAATGATAAAATTAACGAATTAAGTGACTTCGTCATTAATGATCTTTTTTTCGTTTATTCAAATAAATTAAAACAATGTAATACAAAAAGTGTACTTTTTTTTATATTAGATAATATATATTCGAACAACATTACAAATAATAACATACAAATAAAAAAAACAAACAAATAAAAAAAAATATACGATATTTATAAAAAACTGTGATAACATGCAAAGATAGAGAAATCTTTGAAAGTTATAAAAGATGACGAATGAACGTAAAATATTTACAAAAAAATGTATAGTAATAAACCTTTCTTTTAAAAGATTCCACATGTTATCCTTAAACTTGTAAAGACACACAGGTAAACCATTAGCAGGCAGACCTCTACTAGTATCCAAAATATGCGTGGTGATGCTTAACTTTCCTTCATTTGATTTACTCATCTATCATACAAAAATCCAGAAAATAAACATATTACATAAAATTGACAATGTAGATGTGGAAACTTAAACTTAATCTTTACTTTTAGATATCAAATTTCAAGCTGATAATGTCAAGAAATATTAGATAATTTAAATAATAATTTATATATCTTATATTTTTATCACTTGAAAAATTATTAAGAAATTTAGATAATTTTTCTATCAAATATATTTTTCCAAATCTTTTAACTAAATTTCTTCATTAAGAATTCATTCCAGATATTTTCATGTTTATCATATTATTAATTACACTTGATAACTCGAAGAATCGATTTGGTTCTGACAGAAGAAACCATTTGATTTCTATTCCACTATCATTACGCTCAGCACTCGTGTTGCAAGTACAACTGCGTTCGAACAGATCTGCAGTTTCAAAGAATGTTGAGATATAGATAGAACGAATCAAAGGTCAAGGAACGTTGGCAATGAATTATAAAATTGATATTTATCTCTTTTATATTCATTACAGTTTAATAACATCATTTCTTAAAAAATATATGTATAGATGTGACTTTATAAGTAATAATTAGCAACATACATTAACATATTACAAAAAAAAATTCTTATGCGTACGCAGTATAAAAAAATAAAATAAAGTATTTCTAGATATTTATGATTATCTAAAAATTATCTAACATGTATGTGTGTGTGTGTGTGTGTGTGTGTGTGTGTGTGTGTGTGTACACCGCGCCACGCAATAGTAAATTATGATTTATTATACATTAATTGGTGCCGCAATTACGGTCGCCGTGCGACGTTAAAAATTAAAAAAATACGTAAAATTTAAAAAAAAAATTTTATTTGTAATTATTATAGAATTATTCTCACGAACTCGGCATAATAAAAATAATACAATCATGCGCACTAATCCATATCTTAAGTATAAATATATTATAATTCTTTAATAGCTAAGCTTTTCTATATAATTACATTTTGTCACATTTGTGAAAAACATTCAAAATTATTTTATCATTTTATTTATATTTTTATTTATACGATCGTAATATAATTATAAGTTTTTAAATATAATGTTAATATGTACAATAATATATAATTAATATTAATATAATCATACCTACATACATAATACAAGTAATTAAAATATGTTTTATTTTAACTATTTTTACAGTGTAAAAATAGTTCATATTTTTAAAAATAAACTGAAATAAAACTTGTTTACCCGCATTTCCCTTTGTGTAAAAGGAAATATATTCAATAGAATATCTTATTTATGTGCCTCGATAGATTGTATAACCAAATGGACTCAATAAAAGAGGTATATGATAGTGAGCATTTGTGTTTCTCACATCAAATACAACCTCCACAAACGGAAACATAGTATCTACTCTTTTCAATGTAAAATACTTATCAACGTCAAAATGTATTTTATAACGGCCAATTGTTCCATTCACTTTCTCCACCAAATCATTACAATGGCCATCAACATTTGTATTGCTGAAAATAAAATTTTATTTAAATCTATTATATATTTTTATCATAAAAATTTAATTTTAAAATGTTAATGTTAAAATGTTAAACGTTTCTTGAAAAATATTAAAGTTATATTTTGTTTTTTACGCTTTTCTTGTTTCAGGTATTATTAGAATAATACGTTAATATTTTTAATAAAAATTTTGTGTTTATTAAAAAAAGTAAAACAAATATATTTGAATTATATAAACAGTGCTTCCTAGAAACTTGACCAATTAAATATATTAAATTATGGATTTTATATTAATAAATATTAATAACTAATCATAAAAAAACATACTTCTCATTCAAAAAAGTCCATTTACCATCCATCAGTTTGTATAAGCTAACTTGCAATCCGCTAATTGGAAGTCCTTTAACATTATCAACAACATATGTAGAAATGCGCAACTTTTTCGACGGTGTGGTTTTTATCGATTGTTTTCCCAAAACAGTATTCTAAAGCATGTAAAGACATCAATAAAAATCTGTATTTGAATTCTGAACCATATAAAAATAAACTAAAAAAATCTTATTACCTTTTTAGATGATTTGGGGCCAGGCAATTGTTGATTGACAACAGTTGATTGTTGACTAGTGTCAGGAACAGTCGACGACTGATTGTTGTCGGACACAACTGGTTCTATTATAGTTTTGTCTGACTCATTTAACGGGATGACCTTCTTTTGATCAGTCAACATTACTGTGCCAGGCTTACCCTTAAGTTTGGTCAATACATATTGTGTACCCGGTTGAAATAGTACCACCAGTTAATGTAAATGTTTTTGTTACCGCACATCAAAGTAATAGTCTTTGAAGTTTTCATATTTGGCGTGATTGGCACAAAACTCATCGCATTCTGAGTAGGTACAGTATTTGTCAAGATACTTGTCTGATAAGATGTATTCAATACCGGTAATGATGAGTTTACAACAAGAGAGTCTTTAATGTCATCTTCCTGTTATCAAACAATATTTTTTTCACTAAATATTTTAATAAATAAGCCAAGAATATGTCAAAAAGCAAATAGTAATGAGCAATACTTGGCAAGCAAAACTTTATATGCCATTTAATTTTATTTTTAAATTTACACATATATAAATTCAAGAAAATTGCTTGTTACCAATTACGTTATAATTAATGGAATAATGAGATTTAACTAGTTATAATCAAGACTGATTTTTAATTATAAAATATTTTTCTATCGCATAAACACATAACTCACAAGAACTTTGTCATTCTTATTGATTTTAATATCCAGTTTCTCATCTTCCTGTAATTTTGGTGTTTTCTCAATATCATCCGATTCAATTTGTAGACTGGGCATGTCATCATTAGCTGATTCCACTACCATCTCCATCTGGATATTGTCCTCTTCTTCCTCGAGATATTCATTATGAACATGGGCCATAGCCTCTGCCAAAGGATCTCGACATTTTTGCTGTATAACATTATTAAAAAAATACATTAAATTATTAAATTTAAAAAATATTAAATTTAAAAAAATCATCAAAAATATTCCTACCAAACATAATTATTACATTTTATAACATAATTTGTAGTAAATTACCTCAGGCATTAATTTGATTTTCTTTATTACAGATTTAGAATCTTCACTGGATTGGCTATCCTCAATTTCTTTTTCTCCTTCCTGTTCCATATTAACTACAGCAATTTTT